TGCTCAGAGCTTACTCCTGGTTCTGTGTCAGGGATCACTTCTAGCAGTGCTCAGAACACCATATGGGATGCCAGTGTTTGAACCTGGGTTCACATTCTAGGCAAACACCCATCCCACTATGCTATTGCTGACCCCTGCTTCCTGTCTTAACAATTAATGTTGGGGCACACACAGTAGAAGTATCTGAAAATCAACCAAAATCTATTTAATCTGGATTTGATTACCAAGTAAGCAATGTGACGACTTTTGGGTATGGAAAGCTTTTACTGGACTCAACTGTAAGAAAAGACTGAATTGTTCATCTGATTACTATGTGGTTGGAGCTGGAGATTATCATGCTAAATGAAGATAGTCAGAAAAAGAGCGGCAGTTACAAAGGAGATTTCGTACCTGTGAGATATGAAGAAACAGAGTAAGGGGTTTTCACACCTTTCAACACCTTTTAACATCATTTCAACAAATGATCAAAAACAACAGAACAATAAAACTGGTTTACAGAACTGAGCTTATTATGGCATGGGGACAGGAGTTTGAAATTGTGTGTGTGTGTGTGTGTGTGTGTGTGTGTGTGTTGTGTCTGTGTGTCAGAGGGTTAGGGGGTTCCTCTGAGACAACATTGGAGGGAAGCAGACATTCTGGTGGAAGGAGTGATTTGGGGAGATTTTTTGAATGTTGTAACATAATGAAACCCTGTCATTAACAGTATACTTTTGTTTATCTGTTTTGGGGAGTCACACCCAGTATGCTCAGGGATTACTCCTGGCTTTGCACTCAGGGATCACTCCTGAAAAGACTAAAAGTACTACATTGAGTGCCAGGGATTGAACCCAGGTCAGCATACATGCAAGGCAAGTGGACCTGCTTTACTATGTGTTAACGTTTGTCACATACAATATTGAAAATCGAAGTGTTTCGAATAGAATATGAAATTATATATATATATATATACATACTGATAATGAATATTACATTGTCTATGATGAGTTGTGTTTTTTAAATGGTGAGATAGTATGGCAAGGATGCTCTTGACATCAAACAAAACTTAATTTTAATGGGCAGTGTAGCCATTTTAAACCCTGGGAAATCTTTGCCATCACCATTTACATAGACTGATTCTTCTTTCAGCAAGCTTCAGTTTACTTATAATGGGTCACAGTGCTCAAAGTAGCCAAAAGTGACTGACAAAGTACCTGACACATAGGAATTTCTCAATTGTTTCAAAGAGACATGTAGCACATAGAGTCATTTAACATTACCACTATATAATAGGTAGTCATGCATATAATAGTAAAAAGAAAGGCAGCAGAACATGAAAACTAGCCTACAGAACTGAGCTTATCATGGTATGGGGACAGGAGTAAAAAAAAAAAAAACAAATTATTGTGAACCTTCAAAGAGGTTTGGGAAGTCAAAGATAGGGAACAGCTAACTCTGACTCATACAAGCAGAAGATTTCTGATGTAATATACTCATTGAAACATGAAGAATATAAGACTAGAGATTATATTTTTAAAATTTTGTTATTAAAGCATCTGCTATATAACTTGTCTATCAGGAATAAGTATTAACATAAAATATTTACTCTTTTATTTAACTTTTATTGGTTTTGATTTTAGGTCACATCAAGCAATGCTCAGAGATCACCCCTATCTCTGAGCTCAGCGAAAAAAAATCCCTCAATCCCACATGTTTGTTCTATGCAAGTAAGAACAGTGGGATCTGAAACCAGTATACCTCTTAAGAAAATGCACCTTTTATAATGATGTATTCCTTTTATTAGTATTACTTTTCTTTAAGTATTTTAGATGCAAGTCTAGGATTGTACAATAAGAAAGAAATATAGTTGCAGCTTTGTTTCATCCTGTTCAAATTCTCCATTTTTAAAAGTCATAAATACTAGCTCAAATAAAAAAAGAGCAAGTCAGAAGGAATCCCACATAAGTATTCTACCTACTTAGATAATATTTTAGGTATGAGCACAATATTTCAAACAAACAAAATTTTACCACTTTATTGAAATAAAAATCAGTTACAGATATTTTATTTAAAGCTAAAATGTTTTTCATATTATATAAAGTTAAGCTTTTTCCCTTTTAAAACATTAGTTTTAATAAATAAAAATGAATTTTTAAGTTTTAAATGTTAGGTTTTTCATATTCATTTAAAACCAGTTAGTATTTGTTGAACAACTTTTTTTAAAAAAAATAACAGGCAAAACAGAACCAGTTTTTCCTTCAATTCTTAATTAACAAAATAGTTTACCTCTGTGATCATTTATCTTACAAAATATTTTCACTACTCTTCCTTGATAATAAAATATGTGGCTTGATTAAAAACTCATTCTTTCTGATCCTCTGTACTTATTACTGCTTATTCACAACTCTTCGACTTGGAAGTAACATTAGTAATCATTGTCTAACTTATAAAATAATTATTCAATTCAAAATTCATGATGGACTTACATCTAATTTCTGCCTGAAAAACCTTGAATAACTGAAGATTAAAATGGTCAATTGCAGACATTCCATGTTTTAAGCTGTTAGTAATTCTTAACTGAGTCAAATATTTTTTGTCTGCGTGTTATTATACAATTTTTATTTTCAGCTATGGTCATTTGGTTTCTGAAATCCTTTATCATTTGTCTGAAGATTGTGCCTTTATGCCTTAACATTCATGGTGTCTTCACTTCCTTGAATACTAAGCCAGTACTATGAAGTTCTCTTTTTTTTAAAAAAAATATTTGTATTGATTGAGATTCTGTGGTTTGCAATACTGCTATTAATGGTCCCTCATTTATTTTCTTCTCTTATAAAGTAGTTAACAGAATGAATGGTCAAGTTAGAGACTTGGAATTGCACAGTTTACATTTCTTTGTATAGTCTGGCTTTCAATATTTTTTTATGAAGAATTGTTCAATTAGATGATGCGTATTTCATATAAATTTTTATTAGTTTTCATGTGACTTTATAGAACTAGTGCAAGGCTTTGTTTATATCTTTGGAAAATTTAAATTTGTTTAGAACTTAGAATTTTGGGAGGGTGGAATTCCTCTCTTTGACTACTAGTTTAGCAAAGCAATATAATTAAGTACTTTCTAACTTCAGAAATTTAGTGAGCTTAAATATTTCAGTTTATTTCTTGCAAAATAAAAAAAAGAGCCATTAATCAAAGAGAGTTGTTATACTAGTTTAAATATACAGAGAAGGGTGTCTCTTAAATATGAGTCAAAATTTTTGCCCATTTTTGACTTCAAGAAGTTGTAGTTTCAGAAATACCACAAAAACCTCAATAGGGAAGAATTCATTGAGGAAGTGAAGTTAAAGTCAACATGTAAAAAGTGAACCTGTTAACTAGAGTAGGGCAGCATTAGAAAATTTAAAGGATATTTGAATGTAGGAAACATTAATGGTTTTGATTTAGGGTGAATTGCAATAGGAAGTCTAAATTCTTTAAACAAAAAGACCAAAACTATATATATATACATATATATATGCAAGTATATATATACATATTAATGTTTTAAAAATTATGGTCTGGCTGCACTATTTAAAATTGAATGGAGATGGTGAAAACATACAAATTTTGATAGACGTATCTGGTAATTGTGCCAGATAATATGAGGAAAAGCAGATTATAGGGGAGATTATGAACTAACATGCATAATGTATTAGAAAAAGAAAATGAGATGATGTCAGATTACTACTGAATTTCTGGTTAAGTAAACTAGACCAATTGGTTGTGTTACTTCTAAGGATTGCCATTTTGGAAGAAAATCTGCTTTGGATTCAAAAGACTTACATATTATGGATCAGGTTTGACTATGTTGATTTTAAAATACTTTTGATGTGATGTGGTTCAAGAGCCATAAAAAGATGACTACCCTTTGCCCAAGAAAACTCAAGTCTCTGGGATAATTGCCTGAAAAGGATGTAAATTATGGAAAAAGCTTTGGCTGAAAAGGTCCATCATGTTGGTTTTAATTAATACAAAAATGTGGGCAGTGTTAATTTTCATAAGCGGAGCTATTTGATTTTATTTGGTTAGGGGGCTATACCCTTCAGTGCTCAACAGATACCCTGGTTCTCACTTGATGGTCACTCCTGATAGTGTTTGGGGACCATATGATGCTGGTGACCAGCCCTGAGTCTCCCAAATGAAATGAATCCTTTTCAATAGTTGAGTTCTTTCTCCAGACCACGAGGACTATTTTAATTTGAATAAACTTTAATTTTACAAAATGGATTGTTATTTAACCAATTTATTGGCCTTTTAAAACATCTTTAGTGACATGGAAAGTATTGATGAAATAACAATGTCATAAAAATGATATTAAGGGTCAGTAAGACACCCAGTGATCTGAGAACACATTTACCAATAGAAAGGAACCATCCCCAGTACTGGATGGTTCCCTGAGCATTCAACAGTGCCCAGGATTTACCTGGTTCTGGGCTCAGGGACCATTCCTGGAGGGGATCAGTAGGCTACATGAAGTGCTGGGAATCCAACTGCGTCTGCCACTTGAAAAGTGGCCTCTATATCCTCTGTACTTTCTCCAGTCCTTGATCATTATTTTTAATAGGTCATTTTTTGATAATGCCACTAATGCACAAAATTATGTTTCCTATAATTAACCATGTGTACTGACACCAAAATTATAAAGATGTAGAAAATTCACTTGAGACCTGTAATAATTAACAGTTATCATGGCAAATATACATATATATGCATATTCATGTTAGCACCCTCCAGATAAACTGCCTTCACTCATATGTTTTCTAATATTGTAAAGTTAAGTTAAAAGTATTTCACCACTCTCCTCTCTCTACATTTTATAAAGGCAGATAAGGTCAGCATATTTCGCTTTATTTTAAACAATACATTTATTTCAATTGTTATGAATAATCTAATTTTATATATTTTATCAGCATAGAACATGTACATACATACTGCACTCATCAAAGGCAAATCATAAACTTACAAAATATTTTGCATATACTTACTTAAAGTAAAAGAATATGCCAAGTGAGATAAGCAGCGATGCAATAGATAATCCATGTCCAATTATAGTCAGGTAAAACAAATTCAGTGCAGTCTATATTTGTATGAACAGGAAATAAATTAGGCTCAAATAAATATTACAATCTTACATGAGTATAAGCTCAAATTCAAATAAATGTTATGCTTAAAAATGAGCAAAAGGTTAATAAAAATAAAACATAATCTTACTCATCATTCAGTTTACAAACCAATAAATACTTAAATATATCTGGAATAAATATTCCTGAAAAATGTACCAAGTCACATCCAAATTTATAGTTCTAATTATATGATTTGTATTCAAGAAATTTCCAAAATAATAATAAAACAAAGAAGTGGAGAGATAATATAGCAGGCAAGTATTTGCTAACCTGGTCTCAGTTATGGTCCCTTGAACATTGCTAGGTACGATCCCTGAGAACAGTGCCAGGAGTAATTCATAAGAGGAGGAAGCAGAGGATGTAGGAGAATGAGAAGCAGAGAAGGAGGAGGAGGGAGTAAAGGAGAAGGAGAAGGAGAAGATGATATAAACATATATTTTTTGAGTCACACTTTGCAGTGCTCAGTGACCACTTCTGGCTCTGCACTCAGGGATCACTCCTGGAAGGACTCAGAGACCATATGGGGAACTAGGGATTGATCCTGGGTCAGCATGTGAAAGACAAGTGACCTATCCACTATATTATCACTTTAACCCATAAATCATCATTTTCATTAATTTTTATTGATAATAGTTACTCCATCACTAAATAGATATTACATCAAATGGTATTTGATGATCTTACATATTAAATCAAATTGTAGTTTAAAATTTCTTTTCCAAAAATAATTCTTTTCCAAAATGATTTTTTCTGCTTTAAATAAATTTCAAAATCAGAGATAAATCTTAATAACAACTGATAATAATTAATTAAATATATGCTTTCTAACTTTCTCTTGATTTGAATTTTTGTCTTTGACATTCATTTGTTTATATATTTGTGGCATTTTAAAGTGAATTTTTACAACTGTCTTCAAATTATTTTATGAATAAGCAATGAACACATGATTCATAAATCAAAATTATATCTGCCACCTGTGCTTTCTCATTAGTTTTATAGATGTTATACTTACAATAAGTAAAACCTCATAGCACATTGCTGAAAATGTGTTTATTATTGCTTCATATTACAAACCACTGGACCGAGATAAAGGTTATATTTTTTTCAGGACCACAAAGAAATAGGAAATCAAATATTAGCACTCAATTTTGATCAACTGTAACAAGTTTACATACATATTAAATATATGCAGGTACTTTCAAAGATTTTTTTCTGTGAAAGACTATGGTGTTAAAAATGTTAATGTGAGTGTAAGTAACAAGTTGTTCAGAATAGTTTAATTTAGGTAGGACTTACCACGCTAATTGAGCGCTGACGATAACTCTAGATAGATTTGAACAAAAATAATTTTTTTTTCTATTCTTGCACTTACAAAGTTGCCTTCTTTGGTAAACCTTACCTCCAATACTAAAATATTGGCTTATAAATATACTAGCACATAATAGTTTCTTTCAATTTAATGACTGAATTAATAAATCTAAAAATACATTTTCCTTCATTGTTCTGCTCAAATTATATTATAAAAGTGCTTTATAATGAAATGAACACTAGGATATTTTCAAAGCAGAATGTGTAATTTACTTGAAAATGAAAATGAAATTTTAATCTATGATTAAACATACCTTCACTTTCTCATATGTATTGACATTGCACTGGGTATAGTTTGTCCACGTTTTGTTGCTTTCTGGGTGTCTAAACCAGTTTCCATCTTGGTCACAGATCTTTGTAACTTTCTCTTAAAAAATGAAAGGAAGAAAAGAAATTAATGGTTTAGCCAATCCAGTATTTATTAAATTAATATCAAAGATATTGGTACATAAATTTCGGCTTGTACCTGAAGGATCAAAGTCCTGAAAGTAATCAGGGCAGTGCTGCATTGATTCAGTTCCAGCAGCAACATCATTCCAACATAACCATCCATCCCAGGTTCTGTTGCAGTGAAGACCTTAAAGGGAGAGAAATCATCAGGAAAAACCAACATCATGTAAAGAAATAAAATCTTTAACACACAAGAATAGCCGAGCTAAGTACCAGGAGGTTCACTCTGTGGCTTGGAGGCCAGCCACACATGCTGAGGGAGAAGGCAGCTCAAATAGGGGAGTACCAAATAAAGAGTGTTAGGAGGATCCTCCCAGGATGGGAGAAGCATGCTGAAAGTAGACTACAGAGTAAAATATGACTGCCACTCAATGCCTCTTTTGCAAACCACAGCACCCCAAAAGAGAGAGAGAACAAAAGGGAATGCCCTGCCACAGGGGTGGGGTGGGATGGGAGGGTGGGGAGGGTTGGAGGGATGCTGGGAGCATTGGAGGTGGGGAATGGGCACAGGTGGAGGGATGAGTACTCAATCATTGTATAACTGAAACCCAAGCACAAAAATTTGTAAGTCTACAACTGTATCTCATGATGTTTCACTAATAAAAATTTTAAAAATAAAAATAAATAAATAAAAATTTAGATCCCATTCAAAAAAAAAAAGGAAATAAAGTCTTAATTGTGGGATCAAACCAACAGTGAGTAAATTTTGTTTTCTGAAAGTGAAGACATTGTATAAAATCTCTAGCAATTACATGGAAATTCCATCAAACATAAAATAGCCCAATTGTGTATACCTTTTTATTTAAAAAAAAAGTGGGGGACAGAGATAAAGATCATTCTGCAAGAGCGCCATGTAAATGGAGCAGCTTAGTAACTTCACAGTTAATCCAATAGGACATGTCAAGCCAAGCCCATGAAACTCACTGGTACACCAGTTTTCGGGCTGAGAACTCAGGGACTCCCATGGAAAGAGGACAGGTCAAGTCCACACCGTGCTCAAACCCCAACAGTCATACGCACACCCCACAGCCATCAGCCATCAAATAGTTCTTCTTTGGAACTAATCTCTGAAGAGATGCCAAGCAAAGGAAACTTCCAGATATACCAGTCTTTAAATTGAAAAATTCTAGGGCCTTCTTGGAGTGAGGGCAAGCCAGCCTCTCCACATCCTCTCCTCCACTACTGCTGGAGGCCCTAGCCTAGCAACCACACACACCATCAAATAAACAATGGGCCAGTTCACAGCCTCAATGCTAATCTCAGAAGAGATGCAAAACTAAACCAGTGAAATTGATGGAAACACTGGTCTCCAGGATGAAAAATCTGAAGCTCTCTCTGGAGGTAGACGTTTCTGCAACAGCCCCAAATTCCACCTCACTGACAGCCCAGTAGGAACACAGCAAATTAGATAGGAAACTAGCACAGAATCCCATTAAACTCATGAGCAAAAACAATACAGACGGAGCAACTAGCAAAAAGAAGCTCAGTAAATCCTCAGTGATTTTAACAACATCATTGTGCGGTATAACAATCTTCTCAATTTGTTTTTGTTTTTGTTTTTGGATGACTATCGCACTTAGTGAGGCTCAGGGGTTACCTCTGGCTCTGTGCTCAGGAATTACTCCTGGCAGTGCCTGGAGGACCATACAGGAGGCCAAGTATTGAACCGAGGTTGGTCATACCAAGGCAAGCACCCTATATGTTATGCTCTCATTTAGGCCCCAATTTATACAAACTCTTTTACTGCATATTTTTTGATGACTTCACTTGCTACTTTACTGTAATAGAAAATAAATTATTTTGTCCCTGCTAAAGGAGCAGGCTTGCAGTATGGGTAGGAAACTGGAGGAAATGGTGGAAGGAATGCCACACCAGTGGTGGGATTTGTGCTGGAACACTGAATGTGCAAAACAACTGTATCAAACATCTGCACAAAACAACTTTGTATACCACAGAGTTCAAACAGAATCAGAAAAAAAAATGAGAGTATACATTAAGATGTTCTACATCAATAGTTTTAAAATATAGCAATGAGTCCCATTTTAAATAAAGGACCTACAGACTGATTGGGCTGGAGTAATAGCACAGCGGGTAGGGCATTTGCCTTGCACACGACTGACCCGGGTTCGATTTCTCCTCTCCTCTCAAATAGCCCGGCAAACTACCGAGAGTATCCCACCCGCAAGGCAAAGCCTGTCAAGCTCCCTGTGACATATTTAATATGCCAAAAACAGTAACAAGAAGTCTCACAATGGAGACATTACTGGTGCCTGCTCAAGCAAACAGATGAACATCAGGACAGTGCTACAGTGCTACAGACTGATTAATGATAATGACTGAGTGGTTTTCTTTGGAAAAGACACCAAATACATTAAAAACAAAATAGTTATGTTTACCTTCTGTTTGTTGAACAGGGTATTGCATAATTTTTTGATAGCACTCATATTGAGCAGTCATGATTTTATTCCTGGTAACACCCAATGGAATTAAGACACCAGAGCTCACTTCTTCCGATTCTGCTTTGACAAGATTCTAAGGGATTAAAAAGAGAAAAGTTTAGTATGGTAAATATTGTCTACTGAAGGCAGTTTGTCACAGTGGAAAGCAGTAAACAATAAATGTAGTGACGTGCTACATAGTCAGCTGACTTTGGGAGGAAATCCTTAATAGCTAATGTTTGCCAATTTCCACGGTATAAATATCCACACATGTCCATTTATGAGAGGCCAACAAGATGTTGCCAATAGCAGATTTTGGAAGCCTGTGGGAACCTGGAAGTGAGATTTAAAATGCAAACAGGGCTATATTCAAAATCTTCTTTAATTTTTTTAGCTGCCCTGTCAAATTAAGCAATATAACTCAACTCCTGAAGATATATTTCTATTGTAAAATAGGAAAAATGGTATCAAGAACAGAAGGAAGTCCAGCACATAGTGACTACCTGAAATTGTTGTCATTTTGTCATTTTATTTTGATAGAATATCAACAGGTTCACTTTTAATGTTGGCAAATAGAACTGCTACTGCATTCACATTAGCATAGTTTTCACACAGTTTATGTATATGTATATAATATGTAGCACTGTAGCACTGTACTCCCGTTGTTCATCGATTTTCTCCAGTGGGCACCAGTAACATCTCCATTGTGAGACTTGTTGTTACTGTTTTTGGTATATTGAATACACCACAGGGAGCTTGCCATATATATAACATATATTATATATATGAGTATACAAATTATAAATAAATATATTTTCCCAATTTAGTGGAACTATTTTAAATTTCATTTTCACTTTTATTTACATTTTGCAATATGAAGACTCCAACATTATTTCTTTATTTTTTTACATAATTTTTATTTGCTATTTTCAGAAGCAGCTATCTCTCTGCTCTCATTTTGTCTCATAATTCTTGATTTTCTTTTCTCTAGCAAGAAGATGAATATAGTAGAGTCTAAAGAGTAACATTTTTTTTTAGATTGTAACATCATTCACAAGTACAAATGAAAACTATATTAGAAGTTATACTTACCATAAAAAAGGGCCAGAGAAACAGAAAATACAGGATATACTTTTTCTCCATCATTAATGTCAAAATGAAATATTATATAAATCAAACTGCAATAGAAAATCAAATTATAAAATAAAGATACATTTAATGAGTTATTCTAAAACCTTAAAATTGTACAAAATATTTTTCTTTCAGAATTTGATTAAAGTTTTATGTGTTACAAATATCAATACATTAAAGAATTAAAATATATATCAAAATAAAGATTTTTACAAGAAAATAGAATTAAATATTTTGATAGTATATTTCATTATAAAATGTTTCTTTATTTTTATTAGTATTGACTTTATTTTAAATGTTCTAACTCAAATAATATAAAAGGAAAATTGTTCCTGATAAATTTCTTAAGAACCACTGTTGAAAAGACTTTTATTAAAAATGACCTTATAATTTAATAAAAAAAATTTTCTCTGCAGAATTCAGTAGTTATTTTTAATCAGGAAATTAGAGACCTCATTGTAAATCATTGTCATTGGAGTAATCATTGTCATAGGAGATAGACGATATTAAATAAGAGCATCTCTGTTGAAATACTTCTGTAGATACTGAGCTAACAACCTCAAAAATACCACCCACTTTCTTTTTTAACTCTAATAGATCATATTGCTGGTGTACAATAAGTAACACTTACATTTTATAACATTCATGAGCAAACGAATCTTACTGCACATGTATAATATGAACTATTATGACTATGATAAAATTCCTCTTTGAGAGCCCAACAAACTACCGAGAGTATCCTGCCTGCACGGCAGAGCCTGGCAAGCTCCACGTGGCATGTTCGATATGCCAAAAACGGTAACAATAGTGAGTCTCATTCCCCTGACCCTGAAAGAGCCTCCAATATGGCAGCGTTGGGAAAGACGAGTAAGGAGAGTCTGCTAAAATCTCAGGGCTGGGATGAATGGAGATGTTACTGGTGCCCGCTCGAGCAAATTGATGAACAACAGGATGACAGTGACAGTGATACAGTGATGATAAAGTGCAATGTCCAGTTAATTGTATGTGCAAAAAATATCCCTCAAAGGAGTTAAAAATTCAACGGGTAGATATTTTCCAGTGAGCAATGAATTTTTATTTTATTTTACTAGGAAACTTGGCATGATTTTTATCATAGGAAAAATATTAGACTGAAATAAAATCCTTGGGCTGGAGAAATAATGCAGGGAGTAATATGCCTGACTTGTGATGCATCTGAACCTGGTTCAATCCCTGGCAGCACATTTAGTCAGTCATCCAATCATCGCCAGAAGTCACTCCTGAGCTGAGGTTCAGAATGGTTCTTGGACAATACTGAATATTAACCCTCCCCACCCTAAGTATAAATTTTTGTCCATGTATTTTGTTTATTGTTTACATTATTCAATGAAATGAAAACATATTATTAATCAGAACAAAGAAGACATGCCATTGTTTGCCTAAACTCACCTAGAAGCAGCTTTGCTTAATAATTGTAGTAATTGTCTGTGTAATGTTTTGACTTCTATCAACTCCACAGGAATTTTATTATTAGTTGATCTGAAGAAAAATAAAACCAACATCAGTAAACATTATATTAATTTTAGACATATAAAATATGTTGTAACAGAAGAAAGTAATGAACCAGTGTTTATTCAATGTAGTAATTAACAAGTTGATATTTTAGTTTTATTACATTAATCACAAGAAAATCTAATTTTCCAATACTTACATACACAGTTGTCTCCAGACTCAAATCACATTTTCTCTTGTCTCATATTGACATTGTCATGAAGAATTTCTTAAAACCAGGGGTCATGACCTAAAACATTGATTGTTCTATAATTAAAAATGCTTTTACAAGTCAGTGTCATTTTCAGAAAACTTTTCCCTCAAATGTTGCTATTAAAGTTATATCTTTACTAAGTCTTTTTAGTATTTAAAAATTATATTGTTTATGATATAACATACAAGTGTATGTTATTTTTATCATTTGGGAAAACTGCATAAATTTATGCAAAATATGCATAAATCAATTTTCAATTGTGCAAGTTATCTGCAACCTGAGCAATTTAGCATACTATTGTACTTGAGTAAACTGAAAAGAAAAAAAAACAGGAAAGTATTTTAAATTAAACTCTAGTTTAATCTCCTTTAATTTACTCTATTTATTGAAATGTGTTATCGTTTAGTTCTATATACCTATTTGCCTAACTTGAACAGTTTCTCAAAGCTAAAACCATATCTGATTGATCTTTGTATGCCTTATGACTGGCAATTAATTTACAATTTCTAAACATATGAGTGAATATACAAATTAAACATTAAGCTATTTTAGAATCTTATTCAAAAATGCTAATTCAATTAAGAACCTTTTTATTGGAAGTTTGTAGTGTTCAAATTTAAAATAAAAGCAATTGGAAAAAAATCTTACATCAGTTGGGTTTACATTCTTACAAAATAAAGTTCTGAAAAATGGTTCAGTTTTAAAATTCTGTGGTCTTCTGACAGTAATATATATACTCACTTTGTAAGCCAGAAAGGTTAAGCCAAATGTAAAACATTAACTCATATTTAAAACACTGATGGTTCTCATTCTTCTGAATTAAATAAACTGATGTAGTATATTTATATCAGTACATATTTATACCAGTATAAAATAAAATGTAAGTAAACATTAATCTATTTGGAAATCAGACTCAATTTTACAAATACATGATGATTTTCATGATTCCTGATTAAATTACCTTTTTAAATATATGTAGTTATTTTTAGGTTTCTGGGTCACACTCTGCTGTATGCTCAGAGCTCACTCTTGGTTCTATGCACAGGAATCACTCTTGGCTCATTCTGGAGACAATATGGAATGCCAAGGATGGAACCCAGGTGCACCACGTGCAAGGAAAATGTCTTACCACTTGTATTATCACTTAGGCCCCCAAATTACCTTTAATAAATATAGGCTTAACATTCTAAGGGGAAACTGTTTTCGAATTAGAGTTTTACCAAACCTAACTTTAAAACAGGTCACCGAATTCTAGAGACTACTTTATTTCTTATCTAATAAATTTGAAAATCTAATAGATGTCAAAAAGTATGTTCACTAGATCATACAATCACTAATCATTCAAAAGGAGCAATAGTACAGAGAATAGGGTATTTGTCTTGCACACAGCCAACCAGGGTTCTTTTTCTGGCACCCCATATGTTATCTTGAGCCCTACCAGGATTGACCTTTGAGCACAGAACCAAGAATAAGCCCTGACCACCCGACCTCCCACCAAAAATGGACATTAGCATTGAAAATAATAACATGTTTATTGTTTTCATATTTCATCATTCCCTATTGCACTGGAAAAATGAGCTACAATTTTTCACTGTGTAAAGTTACAGCACCCAGAATAAAGGAGATAGCTGTTTTGTCACTGAATTTATCCAGGACTTACAAAAGAGGTGCATGTTTTGTGGTAGGAGGTTTCGCTCAGCTGTCTTCAGGGATGACCCTTTTCTCTGAGAGTATTTTAGGAAAATAATGGAGAGAACAAGACTGATTATATAGAATTTGCTCTTCAGATCCATCTGAGAGTAAGTTTATAATTCTCATATTGTTATATGTAACAGCAAGATAGACCTCGGAAGTAGGTGAATTTTTTCTAGAGGTTTTCATTGGTTCTTTGCATCATGCCATTTCTAATATATGTTTATCTCATTCTCTCATGGATTTAGCTTAGCTATATACCAAACACAGAGGTGCTCAGGGCTTAATCTTGGCTCTGTGCTCTGGGATCAAAACTGGGTTGGCAGCATATAAGGCCAGCAACCAATCTGCTATACTCACTCTGCCTACCATTTTGCCATGTTTGTTTTTTTTTTAATTTCCACATCTTTATGAAAATATCTATTCTTTTTGGGATTTGTTTTTTCTTTTGAAAAACTTATTTTAATTGATTTAGGTAGTATGATTTATAATACTGTTAGTGATGGTTCCCCATAACTTGAAAACCACACCCTTATGTTCACAGTGCCCACCAAAACTCAGTTTGATGGACCAATTCTCCCATTGTGTTGCCGTTTGCTTCTGTTGATATGCTGCTATGCATCTTTAAGTCCTACATATTTATCGTTGCTAAAATGCATTTGATATTAACCAAACAAAGCTATCATTATGAAAGATATTCCTATCCAATTTGCAGAAGACAGCAAGTGAGTTAGATAATTCAGATTTGTTAGTGGATTCCTCTAAGAATATTCAGGCTTGTTTGTTAGGAAATGGATTCTTCAAAGCAGAAAAAGCTTTAATTTAGACTTAGTAAATTTGTAATCCCTGTAGTGCACATAATAAGATCATTTTCTCCTTCTAACTCATGGATTCTTTAACTACTTTATTTTCACTTCTCAAAATTATACAAAGTAAATTGATCCTATTAGAAATTAAACTATTTTCTTTAATGTACTAGCAGAATAAAAGAGTACTTTGTTTCAAAATAGGTTTGAAATTTCTTTGCCTGAAGCTCTGACAATGTAAAAATATTTGTTGAATCACAGAAAAATTAGAAAAGGTGCTGAAACCTCAACTAATCGAAATATAGATTTTTTGACACTTATGAATTCATCTTCCATGATTTTGGTTTCATTTCTTAAACTTACCATAGATTTAAATCACAAGATAATTTTTCTTTCATTTTAAGTTCGTTAATTTAAAGAGATACATCTTTTGGTATGGGTCAGTGACAAAGCATATTCTATGCCATATAAAAATTCTGGATTAGAGCAAGAAAGAAACTCACTGGGTTGAAACACATGTTTTGCATGCAGGAGGCGCAGGTTCATGACTGGTACCCCAAGGACCCCTGAGCAACACCAGGTGTTACCCCTCCGCCACCCAAGCACAAAGCCAGGAATAACCCAAGAACATTACTGGCTATGGCTCAGAAACAAACTATACAGTAATATGACACACTCAAAACTAACTGGAGCATAAATCAAGTTCTGTTAATGTATATAAATGTTTTTCAAACCTTGTATTTATTTGTTTAATTTTTTAAATTATTTTGAAGCACATTTTCATTCATTTAATTTTTTATAATACTCTTATTTTTGGTTGATTCACCTATCCTAATAAGAAAAATGTGTTTTTGCCAGAGTAAGGGGGAAAGTAAACAAGTTTCCTCTTCAACTCCACTTCTAAAGTATCTTGGATTTTAAAGGTCCTAACCCATATTATTTTCTCCATTTATTTATCCAGGCACTATAAAGTTGGCTAACAGAAGCATTTCCCACAGATATCTAATTTGCCACTAAGTATCCTGAACCTTTGTGTAAGCAGAGTTAGGCTGTTTCCTCTTTAGTACATGACTTCCCTTACGGCATATTCTACAAACTACATTTGGCTTGAATTGAACAAGGAATAAGCACCCCGCTCCAATCTAGTCTTCATTTGTGTGGCAAATTCTCTCATTCTACACTACATACAATAGATTGAGCCACTGAGGAATGACAACGTATAAGACTGGTTACCTTCTCATGACGCAACTTTTGACAGAATCTGCCTTTACTGTTTTTACTTTGAGCAGGATCTTTAAGAAAAAGAAAATTTTGAGTGAAGTTGTAATTTCTATCCTCACCTTGATTTGAGATTTCTCTAAAGCTTTCAGTACACAAAGAAGTCAGAACCTTAAAACACAGGCTTCAGGGATAGCTTATAGCAGAGCAGCTGCCTTGCAAACCAGAGGATGGAGAAGCTGCACATTCCATCCCTAGCACCAAGAATCTGACCCTGGTGTAATTCCTGTGGCTCTACTCTTTGGGCTTCCTGGGGTCACAACTAAGTACGGGATTTCCAGAACATTGCAGTGCGACGTGTTACTTCAGTAGCTAAAATGTAGGAAACCCATATCGATCACAAAAGGAAGGGTGACAGAAAGGAAGGAAGGAAGGAAGGAAGGAAGGAAGGAAGGAAGGAAGGAAGGAAGGAAGGAAGGAAGGAAGGAAGGAAGGAAGGAAATACAAGAAGGCTTCTCTTCCATAAAGATCTGTTATTGATACAAGAATCTCAAACTATAAATTCTTTCTATAATATTATCTAGGATTTGCATTATTTTTTTGAAGCTATCGAATGGACAGGTACCAAATCACTAATGAAACAGAAACCATTGTACCTCAAAATGTATCAGAATTACCATCAGAAAATTGTTGAACATGTTTGTACATCTAGGTTCTACAACAGATGCTCTAAATCAGAAACTGGGAGACAGGCTGGAGAGACAGAATAGTAGGTAAGATACTTGTTATTCACATAGCCAACCTGGGTTTGAGCCCTAGTAGTATCAAAGGTTCCCCAAGTCCTGCAAGGAGTAAGCTACAAGCACCACTGGAGTGCTCCAAAATACTTTTAAAATTTTAGAAAGGAAACTTGGAGAATAATTTACATTTTTAGGCGGCACTGTGGGAATTCTTGGTCTATTACTTTTGGGGAAGTAAAATACAAATATCCCCACTAAGTCATGCTGAAAATTGGAGACAAATATCTGTCTCTACGGGCAAGACTATTTTAAAACCACCAAGCATAAATCAAGAAATATATTCTTCCTTGTTCCCAGGAAAATTAGTGTTTCAGAACTCCCAGAGCAAATTATTCGAAAATCTATTTTAAAACTACCATGTAGTATTGTAAATATTTCTGTTTATCAGTGCTACTAAATGATGAGACTAGTAAGAAACTGACCTGAATTGTATTCATCTTTGTGACTGCAAACCGTTGCAAAATGGGGGCATAACGAGGTTTACAGAAAGTGTGCTTTCAGTGTAACATTTACAAAAGAA